GAACTTTTATTGCTTTATTTTGCTTCTAATGCGATCACATAACACTTTCTGAGCCTCGGAAGTACTCAAAGTTCGCTAATTTTCGAGAAAATCGTATTTTTATATTTTTGTAGTTCCAACTTTCACCGCTAGATGGACGCCAATTTTTTAGTCCATGTTTTGGACTATTTTTCTATTTTCTTTTCTAGCGCTTTTAGGAGGCTCTTGTGGCAATATATAGGTTCTACATAGGTCACAGAACAATTTCTGACCCTCAGAAATACGTAAAATTGCCTAATTTCGGAGAAAATGGAAATTTTAGTTTTTCGTAATTCCGCCGCTCGCCGCTAGATGGCGCCACCTGTACCGTTTTCGACCGAATTCGACAATAATTGATTTCCTGGCTTTATTAGGCATCAAAACGCATCAAACACTAATAGAAATTTGTTTCTAAATGCCTCAGGAACCATACTACGTCGAGAAAGTGCCGAAATATTCATTTTTTTATTTTCCTTATGTGCGTGTTCGGACCCTCACTATTTAGGATCAGTTTTTTCGGTGATTATTCGTTCGTGGCAAGTCCGATTAAAATTTTTTTATTTCTATGTCCATCTGGATGTACATGCGCATGTGCATGCAAAATTTGACGAGAATTGGTTGAGTGGTGCAAAAGAAAAACGCGGACAAAGAAGTTGCAAAGTCAAGTATAAGAGCTTCGCTCGCTCAATGAAGTTACTAACTAATTAATTAATTAAATATAGGAAAACAATTCCTATAATCCTGTGTTGATCATCAAGGCCGTCGGTTAAGAAGAATTCTGTGATCAAAGCCGTCGGTCAAGAAAAGTTCTATTTCCAATTCTGAATAAATAATCAATACTGAAAGCATCCATCGTTTTATCGCCATGAATTTTATTTTAAAAAAGGCGCGAAAATATACCTCTTGACAGGACATTTGAGAGAAAGTAAGTACCATCAGTTTTCTTCTGAGCGCGCGCAAATATATATAATTTCAAAATACACGTAAGAATGAAACTTTCGAAATACTTTCAATTTTCTAATAATAAGCTACAATCTTTACACTAAGTAATTATCTTTCATACCATTTCCTCTATAATAATCAGTTTACGTGAATTCTTTCTACGAAAACCTCCCCTTGAAGAAAAACCATAAACTGAACTGGATAATATTTCACAACAGGTCAGTCAAAAGAAGAACACCACAGCCAGTAACACAAACGTTTCATGTAAGTGAATGTATTTTACAATCTACAACAGTTACACGTACAATCAGTGTTTATTTTTCCTTTTTTATTTACCGTTACATTTTTAATTTAGCGCCAACGGGAGCGGAACAGTTTTGTCCTGTATGTATGGAGAAGCTTCCCTCAGACACCAGAGACATATATCGCTCGGCAAAAAGCGTTGTTAAACTGTCGATCGGGCCATTTTGCGAAGCAAAAACGTTGGATCTGCGTCCCTAGAACGTCTTCATGCCACGATCGAATTCACTTTTAAGCCCGAATTGTTCCTGTTCACCGTTAGATACTCGTACGTACTCGATTAATGCACATCGATAATTAAACCATCATATCGATACATATATGACACGTACGTTTTACAATATCTCGTATAAAAAAATATCTTCTTGCAGCCGGAAGTCGAGCGTAAACAAGGACAACGACTTTCGCGCATCCGGGGATCACAAACAGACACTGAACGGCTCCTATTATATATACGGTTTGCCCCGATGTGCCCTGTAAAGTGGCAGAGGCACGATCTACCTGTTCGAACGAAGAAAAGATTCCATGCGCATAAGCATCAGGGTTTCCTGCTTCATGGTTCAACTGATCTTGTAACATTTAACCCTTTCGATATGGACGTTATACTTAGTCGATTAGCTGAACGATGATTACATTCAAATAACTTTTGGTTTTATTACATTATGCTTCATACTTTAGCTGTTATGGATGACTATAGTCGCTTGACTACAGGTTATATCTGCACTGGTTCATCATGAAATGATCTAAGAGCAACTACAGTCGTCCAACGTGAAACGTCTACATTTCAGAATAGGAAGTATAAAAAAAATTGTGACAATTAGAAAAAAAATTCTTGTTGAAATTTTGTGAACAGAACTATACTATTTGTTATAGGTTAGCTCAAGCGCCCGGCGAAGAACTCTCGGGTACATGTGTGTTAAGGCGTGAAGCGATGAGACGAAAAATTTAAACTTAGAAATTTGGAAATTAAGAAACTTTGAATCTCCAAATTTCTAAATTGAGAAATAATAGAAAGCATGAAGACTAACCATACCAAAAGGATTAAACTTCACAAAATCACAAGTAGGCAAGCGATGAACGAGCTATATTCTATTGCGTTTTTGTCTAAAACGATCGAAATATTGTTGTAAATAAAATACTTCAAAATTCTATACTGATAGATTTAGCTGTTGCTATACTATGAGAAGGCAACGTAACAATACTTTTCGATGTATGTACACTCTGAATTAACATTCATTGCTTGCCGATTTAATCACAGCTTAACTCGAAACATTTGACGCGAAACACATGTAGTGTTTATATCAATGTTGCGATAAGCGAATGTGATGAAAAGTCAGAACTGCGATGGAAAATTGATCTTGTATTTTGTATGTGAGAATATGTATATGCGTGTAGGTGTCGGAATTTCGATTACAAGGATATCACGCTATTTTTCTAACTTCACGCGAGGTATATACATAATTCCACTGTTTCTTTATCTACAATAATTTATGTTAATATTGTGAGTAATGATAAAATAAGCAATCGCATGTGCAGCACACGTGTGAACATAATTTGTCGTCATTGTCACTATAGTTGTTAAGGATTATTTTTCCTTTTGTAATGAACTGACTGATTTATGAATAAAACCTTTGACGTATTAAATTGGTTAATTTATTCTGTTTTTATATATTATATATTTATATAATGTATATGTATTTATATATTGACAAGTGAACACGCAAAGAAGCGAATATCGGTTCCTGTTACATATCTATTTATTATCTTTTTCATCTGATCTGCTACTGAAATAATTATTACAAATTAACAATCACTTCTCGAACTTTTACTACATTATATATTATTCTCTTACAGAGGACTGTACGGTTATCTATTTATTAGTACGGCATTTATTTATTATCTAAGAGTGTTGTCGTTTAATGCTGATCGGTTTAAAACACAGTTCTGAACATCTACGGATCGTGAGTTTTTTTTCGTACAATGTTCGCTTTATTTTTTTTATTTTCTTTTTTTATATTAATTATTCGTACTATCTACTACGAACACCCATGTTTATTGTTTTTCAGCATTAAATATCTAAACCGTATCGACTGTGGAAGTGTAGTATTATCTCTATAATCATTTGTAAACGGTAAGACGCAGCTTCCTCGAAATAAATAAAAGATTATTTATACTGTCCGCTAAGAAACCTACTGGTCGCAATATGTCGATACAAAGAAAAACGCATAATTGCATCAGGAATGAAAGGAACGTTGAAGAATGTTTATAGAAATTGGCAGTAGCGTTTTCAGTTCAGTCGGTAAGAGATTTTTAACGTATTCGATACAAATCAGGTATCTCGTACTCGCCTACGGAAACATTCGTTTTGAGAGAGTATAGTACATTACGCGTACTAATAAATAACGATACAATGTAGATCAGTGATGGGCAGGTGCCCGTCGAACAGCTTACGTGGATACGGATTTTCAAATTTGAGCATTTGTAAATTTAGGAATGTAAATAAATTCCCAAATTTTTCAACTTTCAGATTTTTAAATTTCTAAACTGTAATTTTTAGATATCTAAATTTAGGAATGTAAACATTTGGAACGTCAAATATGGAAAAAAATAGAAATTTCAAATTTTCCAGTTCTCAAATTTTTAAATTGAGAAATCTAAAAATTGTAAACTTAGAAATTTAGAAATTCGCTCATTTGAAAAGTTCAAATTTTTATATTGAATCATCAGTGCCCTTGGGAATAGTTACCCATCGCTACTAGAGATTACAAAATCTTAATCTCTAGCAGTTAACTTAAAAATCGAGACGAATGATAATAATACTTTGTTACAGTGGGATTCTTATTAACATAAGTTTGCATAAGTAGGCATATACACTTAGAAATTTTGTAACTTTCGATTTCTTGCTTTCTGTGCACCAATAATCTCGCATAAATTTTAGTTTAAAGTTCTGGAAAATGATAAAATTATCACTGATACAACAATACTAGAAATAAAGATTCTAAAATGTACAGAAGAGTAACAAGTTCAAATCCCTAAAGGAGAGCATGTTGGATACATACAAAAACTCATAGGAAACCACCTTGAGAATGTAAATTAAAAATATACCTTCTGAGTGGTTATTTCCAGCCTTTTTATAATGTCCATCATTTCACATTTCAAATGAAAAGTAAACTTTCTTCAGAATATATATTTTCAACTACAGATCCAACTGCAGAAGCTTGGGAAAACTTCTCCCTTTAGATATCCTAAATGTATATGCTCCCTTAATGTTGGTGTATATTTGCCAAAGTAAAAGGAAAACCATCGTATCAACGTACTATCCACTTTTTTGCCGATCTGAGACACACATACACGTTTACTTTAATATTTACCGATAATGGAACAGCGTTGCCCAGGCAGAACGCAAATACTGGGACGAAATGTTGGCCCAATATTGTTGGAACGTTGGCCGAACGTTGCTAGCAAGTACTCGAACAATAGTAAATGCACACATGTTTTAGTAAATGCACATATTTTAACAATTCTGTAACAGTATGATACAATACTTAATATTAATATAAAAAATCAGGGCGATACAAAAAGTCTGATATGTAATATCAATATACAAGTCAAATGTTGATTCGCGAATCATTCTAACGTGTATAATATTCGTATCAATAATGGATACTACCTGCTAATATGAAAAATAAAAGTATCGATGTGTGTGAAAGAAATAAATTGTATATATTATAGTGGACTCTACTGTCAACACCGTACAAAATGTTTAATACAATATGTAACTGACTTATGAAACGCTTTTGGAAAAAAGCGGCAATAAAATAGTAATACTGTAGTATAGGCAATACAATATTATATCAATATTAGATGAACGTTAAAATACAGATATCGATGGAATAATCGAGCCAATATAAAAACTTATTCTAAAATAAAGTTCTACCTGGGCAGTAATATTTATATAATATTTACGTTGAATTTCGTCATACCAATTAGCATCACTGGTTGACAGATTTTACTATCAGAAAGTGTGTTCGCAAGGAACATGATGCCAAATAAAACACAAAAGCAATAATAAAATAAAGATAACTGTGCTTGTGCGTTTCATACATGAAAATGAACGAAAACAAAGAAGAAATGAATTAACTACATGAAAAATAACAATATAAGACAGAAGCTCTATATTAAATTATACGCGGATTTTGTATATTCTTTCCCTCTTTTTTATGAAAGTATAAAATATTAAATTGTTCCTAAGATATTGTTAAATCAGTCAGCTTTCCCGTTAATACTGGCAAGCATTGGGCATTAGTAACGAAACATCAGTTCAAACTAAAAAAAGTTGAAATGATGCGTATGTGTTTATATTAATATGCTACTTTATTTTAATTTATAAATATATTATTTAAATCTTACTATTTTTAATTATCAATTACACATACAATGCCATCAGACTCTAACTGAATAATTAAGGTAAGTTCATTCCGCACCAATTTAATAGGTATATATTAATTATATAGTAGTATGTTATATCATAACACGCACTAAAATAGTATATATTAAGGATGGATTTAATATAGAGCTTGTCTTTCTTACACAATTAATAATAAAACTAATAATAGTGTTAACGAATTTATGTAAACGATTTACTCTTTCAATCCGACCCTCGTGCACCATAGTGCAAAGAAGTCAGTCAGTCTATACTGATTTCTAGTTACCGAATATACGTTCATAAAGGTACATGTATACGATCACCGTGTAAAAATCGTCATTGACGACAAACACATTATTGATCAGGCCCAATAATGCGTGTTGCGACTGTTGAAACATTCGTTAATGTAATTCAGATGCATCAGACATAGAGGAACTTACGTGAACACCGGTACTATAACGTTTTAATAGATTTTAGGAGCCGAACGATCATTGATGGGACCACTGGTTTTCCTTAAAGAGGTACCTTTTCGTATCTGATCCATAAGAGAGTCCCTAACTTGTAAAGGATCCATAATAGGTACACGATTACCCATTATGCGTCTCACGCTCGCTGATCTACTTGTTGTATTATTACCTTGTAAATTCTGTTGCTGTTGCGCTAATTTAGCATTTAATGTTTCAAGAAAACCAGACGGTGTTTTGGAATTTTTACTTATCTGTTGTTCAGAATGTTTCCTTGCAGATTTAGGACTGTTACTTGTGTTATTACCAGTTGTAGTATTGTTACTATTGATAAGCTTAGCACTAAGAACGGCCATAAAACTTTGACCGACCCCACCTGGACCTTGCCCTTGAATGTTAACACTCGTACTGACTCCCGTCACCTGCGTGGTATTTGAACCACGTTCTTGAGAAGCTGAACGAATGGCTGCACATGAACGTTCAACGCTTGATCGAGTAACTTGTAGTACGGTATTATGTGGTAACGTAGCAGATGTATTATTATGCGCTTGTGTTTGCCCTGTAGCTTTCCGTAAAAGAGAAGGGCTAGCAGGAGTATGGCGCAGTTCTGTAAGGGTTCTCACTGTTTCCGAGACTGATATAGATCTGCAATATGAAGTAAATACTACTTTACAGCGACATTTTGCATGTTATTTAAGTACTTTTTCAACAAAGAATGGTCTCGTACCGTTGAGGAGTAGGGCTAGCTGTTGGTGAAGAACCTTCCAATAAAAATGCTGGTGGTGGGGGGAGATTTTCAACCTCATCACAAGTATTATCGGTGCGTTCATCATTAGAAGTCGTTGAAGGATTATTAAATGTAGCAGTTATGATAGTAGATGTACGTCTTGTTGGCGGAGGAGGTTTAATCGCTTGCTGCATCGATCCTCTTCGAATCATTAAAGTAGATGCAGCACCAGGTACATTCCAAGTATTCTCATTTTGATTTTGAAGCGAATGCGAATGTGGTATTGTAGTTTGACTTCCATATCCACTGCTAGATTCAACGCTAGATTCTGAAGTTTGACTACCGCCATCTTTTTCCGTAACTTCAGTCTAAAAATATAAATTTGCATGTAAAAATGTAACTTGTTAAATTCAACAGACAGAAGTGCAAGTTTCGATATTTACCTTCTCGGCTCCTGGTGTTGACAGTGATGCAGGAGGTGGTGGTAACGGTAATTGCATTTCTTGAGCTCGACTTGCAGCTAAGTTCGCTAATTCATGCATATTCACGTACATAGGTTGTTGAAGTTGATGAGTTGCTAATTCTGCATTACATTATAATGTTACATATTATTTACATAATTATTAAAATAATTAATAAAGATAAATAGAAACCTTTTGCTAAATGTGCTGGCAGTGGTAATTTAGGTTTGCCCCGAGGACTTCCTGGAGGTTCATTCTTCAATGGAACTGTAGGTCGTTCTAAACTGGAACATCTATTCGGTATAGGAGGACGATTACTACCATTATTCCTACGTAGTTGTACTCTGGATGCTTGATTAGAGGAAGAACATGAAGAGGAAGAAGAAACTGGAGAAGCAGGTTGACTATGACAACAACCACTAACATCCGGAGCTTGGAATGTGTAGACGCTGAGTGCTGGTCTTTGATGGCCTTTTTCATAAGCTACAATAATAAGTCGTACGATATTAATGAAACGAAACAATTATACCATTTTTAAATACAAAATTCAATTAATCATCTTACCTGAAGATATAGTATGCGGCCGTTCGTTGACTGTGTTCTGATTTTGCCTATCATATTGAACTGACGTTTCCTGCAAGTCAGGCCAAGTAGCAGTAGTTACAGGTCTTGTTGTAGTACAACCAGTATTTTTATTAGTTTGAGAAGACACATTTGATACCTACGACAACACAATTTATCTTCAACAACATAACAAAAGCATTCATATTTGATTGATCAATGCTCTGTTTAGTGTTGCAAATAGAACAAAAAAATCGTGAAATGCTAGCAGGCAGCTATTTCCTAGCAACCTTACCTGATGTTCAGAAATTGGTTGTGTATACAATGTGTCCTGAGAAGTGAAGCCAGAGTCACGGGAACTACCGTTTGCCAAGTGGCGCAGCGTCATCAAACCGCTGATGCTGGAGGGCCTGACACCGACAGACTACAACGAGTACAACATCGACTACCACATACACTAAGCCGATGCCAAATGGCATTCATGCTATAATCTACGAGCAACTACTTGCTTCAAACAGCTAGTGCACATACAGTGAAACTAATGTGCCATGCATTAAAAGCTAATATTTTTAGTACAATGACTAAGCAGAAAGAATGAAAATTTAAAATTTCAATGTTTTCGTGTTTTGTAGAAATTTTCACCTGAGAGAGCGATCTATGCCACGGATGTCCAGATGGACTTGGGTGACTTTTGCAGGAACCACTGCTGCTACTTGTTAAAGAACTGATTGAACACATTGAACTTTTCCGTGACCCAAGAGACAAGGAAGGGCTCGATGGAGGCGTAGCAAGTGACCATTGTGTAACGTCGCAACCTTTTATATCTGTTATCACTTGTTCTGATGCAGGTGGTAAATGATGTGGAGAGGCTGCATGTCGTTGTAATTGATCAGAAACTTCTTGAAGATGCGTGAGTTCCATTAGCATTGCAATTTCCTCATCCTAAAGTTCATATGCGCACATTGTTAACATTATTATTGCGAAATTATTTGTATTAATTACAATTCATTTTACTAACAAGTACTGGTTTCAAAAATCTAGCAAGAAGACAATATCTGCCTCTTTCTTCAAGTAAAGCTGCTCGAACAGCTTTTCTTTCAGTTTCTTCTAAACTTAAACGTTTCTCCTGAACTACTGCAGCTGAAGATTCTAACATTCGATTCAATTCGATGTCCCCTGTTAATGAACCATATCCTTGAGTTTGTCCTTGTAAATGTTGACTTTTACGTGCTTTTTTCTTTTGTAAACGTAAAGTATCAGTAGATCGTTTTCTTAATTCTGCTTTTGCTTTTTTGTATTCTGAAATGAATGTAATTTTAAACATAATAAATATATAAACAAAAAATACATTTAAACTTTATAAACGATCTTTATAATAAATTGAACTGCTTTACTAACCTTTGGCATGTTCCTTATCTAAGTTTATTAAGGATTTTTTCCAATCTTCTAATTTTTCTTGAAGAGGTAATACCAAGCAGTCCATTATAGCACTATTAACAAATGATTCAAATAAAAATGGCAATAACTAACAACTCTAAATTATTAGTCAGACAATTACCTGGTAAATGATTTCATACGTGTTTCTACTGCTTTATGCCTAAGACATATCCGTGTTAAAGCAGTACCAATCTCTTTCGTTGCACCTTGATTATAAAAATTTTTCATTTTTAAATAGATATATTATTTGTTTAAATAAAAGAATTTAAGAATAATTAAGATACTTTATAAATGAAAATTAAAAAAGATGTACATTTATATGTAATATTGTAAATATTGTAAAAGATATTGTAAAAAATGTTACCTCTTGCATTAGTAGCAGCATCAGCAATTTTTTGAAATGTTTCAAGATATGCAGATACAGCCAAAATAGCAGCCCTAAAATAATATTACATCACTGTAAAATTTTTAACTATTACATTATGAAATTTTATTTAGTATTATTATGTATGAACCATGTTATATAGAAGTCTATCATAATTTCTATTTACAAATTAATTTATTAATATCATAAAGGTCAAAAACAATTAAGTTGTAATTAGTGCAGTCATTACCTTAAACATGAATGTAATTTAGTTGCTTTTGAAATTAAATCTTCCCATAATGGAGCCCCATTCTAAAAGCAAACATATTTATATACATTTTTATTTATAAAAACAATTATATATATCTTGTAAATATTATAACTAGTTTATGTATGTTTCAAACATAAATTATGTTCTATACAAATATTTCAATATATTAAATAGACTCGTGCAATCGTGTACGCCTACCTATCTTCGCAGATTAGATAATTTTATAACTCAGGAAACTATTTTGATTACAATATTAAATGATTCTATAATTGCAAAAGTAATATGCGCTTTGATGAGTGAATGGTTAGCATATTTTTTATTATTATCATATATTTATGATATATTGCATCAAGTATCTTGAAATTGATTCTTACATACTGTGAACTTATTACTAATATTTATACACTTAAAGTATGATAAATATAATACGAAATATTATATTTAACAAAAATATAATAACATATACAAACAAGATGTGAAATATTTAAAAATTACAAATATTTTTTCTATATGTGTTATAGTTCATAGATCAGTTTGTTAATAGATTACCAATTTACATTAATTTATTAATTAATTATTTTGCATATAACATAAGTTGATTCTTCTATATTTTGTGCATCTTGATTATTCCTTCAAACATTAATTTATAAGTAAATATCAAGTATACTTTATTTTCATATTATTCGGATGCTACAGCTTCATAGGCTCCACTTGAACTAGATCCATATTGTACAATGTATTATCACATGGTAACAGTTAAGTATGTCAGAGTTGAATTTGCTCTTATTTCCACAAGAATTACATTACCATGTATATCATGTTTATGCATGTTACATAGTGTCATAATAATAAATTTACTAAGATTCTATATGCACTATTAATAATTAGTAAAAAAAAGTTAATTTTATTAAAAGTTACAAAACAAGTATGAAATACAATAAATAATACTGTATTGAAATTTATAATAGATTAGAGAGTGAGTAAATCGAATAATTGGAAAAGAAACAAATGCATAAATTTGGGTAATTTATAATAGGAAGATATAAGCGAAAATAATTAATTAACTGTGAAAAGGTATTTTATTTTCAAAATATGTGAATTGTACTTTTATATATGATTTTAAAAAGATATGCAAAATATACAAATTGGATATACATTTTTGTAGTTTTCTAGCAGCAAAACAAATTTTTCATTTTGATATATTTCATCAGTAATTTACAAACACATGTATTTGTATGAACATCAACAGTCTAATTAATATTCCATATTAATATTCTCAGGTAATATTATTATATTGCTTGAGTAAAATAAATGAAATTTCTGTTCTTATGTGAAATTTGAAAAATATTTCGTCGCTGTACCGTAAAACTAGGCCAAGTATAAATTAACTTTCTTCGTCCTTTTATCGCACTAAAATATCTGACTCATTTCAAAGATTATATCATACGAAAAATAATATTAAAAGGAATATGCTGTCTTCTTCGCTTACAACGATTTCACAATATTTACGACATACAAGGATCGGTGTATCGGCGATGCGTCTTTGCTTGCATCATTACTTGTGCAAAGATACGAAACATACAAAAATAATGAACAGCAAAAACTGCAGTCGCTCTACAAAATAAATGTCGAATCTTGATACTGTCGACATTACTTACCTTCATGTCAGTTATAATCTGTTGAAAAAGGCCACCCAAAGCACTGCACTCCCTCTCAATTGTTGCATCCATCTTTTAGACTGTTCGAAATCTTTTTGTGTTACTTGGCCCCAATAAAGTTCTTCCGCATTAGAGTTGCAGGAAAGTTCACTTCGTGTCATCCATGTAAAAGCGTACAGAATTTTCGTACGAATATCGGCGATTCGGACAATGCGCCATTTTCGTAACAAGAGATTACAGTTTGAAGTAATACGCAAAAATACAATCAACTATATTCACATAAATTGCTTTTTTTATTATATACTCTGATTGATCTCGAATGGATTGATTCGAAAATCGAGCAATCACTATCAAAGTTTTATGAATACTTGCTCCGATTTGAAATCACAACAACGATTAGTTTCATAAAGAACGATTGTAAACACTAGGGACGGGTTTTACGACACAACACACTCATCTTGACGAGTATGGCTCACGTTTGCATCAATTGTTTTCGTTGCAATATCTGAATATCGGTGCCCCCTACGACGACCCCGTTCTAGAACTTTAAAATCGAGGATTCGGGGTATATCTAATCGTTATTCAGGGTAACGGCTCTCTTTACCCCTCTGACACGATCACTTCCGGAGTGTTGACTATTGAAAGAGGACATCCTGCATCTTTGCTCACTCATTCTGATTGGTTATTCACCAGAAGTATGGGGAAATGTTTGCCATACGTAGATTCTTATCTAATATTCGTTCCACGAAAGATCATACTCATCAAATGACAAATTTTTGTTTATTCTGCGCACGTCAATTCTGATTGGTTCGAGCAAGATCATTAATGAACAGTAATGCGCATGCACCTTCGCACCGTTCTCGACGCTGTATAACATATACCCGATGTCTTTTTATTTTCCACTTGCTTAAAATAATAGAAAACTTGATGTTGCAAAGATTAAAAAATTTAGGAATTTAGAAACGGAGAATTTGAAAATTTTAAAGATTGATAACTTAAAAACATGACAATATAAAAACACAAAAACATAAAAATTTGAAAATTTAAGTCATAAGTTTAAAAATGATTGTTTTTGAAAATGAGTTTTGGCTCATAAAAGTTTTGGATGTCCTATCGTACATCATTACCAATGTATACGTTTTATATATTTTGTCTACCATGTATATGATGATATAGTAGAAAGCACATAGTAAGTGGGACAATAATAAGTGGTGGGGAATCTAATGAAGTTAGCTGAGTTGCGCAAATTGAGTATGATCTATCGTGGTACGAACAATACTATCATTGTTCCTAGATTAACAGGTTCTTTATTATAAAAGGGAGTTTATAAACAGAGAATTTACGCATATTTCAAACGAAACGACAAATTATTTTAGAGAGATTAAAAATATGAGTCTTGTAATTAAATATAATAAATCGTTTTACGATATTTTATGGACGTATATCGTCGAATTAGGTGAAACCACTTCTAGCATTTTTAAATTCATTGCTGTCGTTGTTGTAACTGGAGTTATTTCATACACACTTTACCGTTTTCATGGTAGCTATATTTTGAATTTTCAAATTTTTTTTAGTAGTCAAAGATTACATCGTAATTAAAATCTTACTAATTAATGTTATATTTTGTATATGTATGTATTACAGAATATGGAGAAATATTTAAAATTTTTTATTTCAGAATATCATTATAAAAAATTTATAAGCGCATCAAAACAAAATTTTACGCAATCGCAAGTCATAAAAAATTATAATCGTTCCTTCGCTCGATGCCAAAGCATTATTAGTCATAAAGAAATGTTGAATGCGTTAGAATATGCAGCTAATGTAAATAGAATAAAAACTATTTATAAAATCATATTCTAAATTATAATAATAGGCTGTACAAAAAATGTTATTTTTAATAATATTTATAAATCTTTCATCTTATTATTTTATATGTTTACAAAATATTTATATATTTGTTTTAGAAATGCTCTGAAAAAGTGTATGCATTAAAGTGCATTGATGTAGTAGTTTGTTGTCCACAGTTATTAAATATAAGATCTCCATTAAATGGTTTAACACCTTTCCATCGTATTTGTTTCCAAGGACATACATATTTAATAGCATTTATGTTAGCAAAAGGTGTGCATTTATTAAAGTAATACAAATTTGAGCATACTATAATAGAAATTAGTTATTAATTTATAATCATTCATACTTGTTTATTAAATTTGTATAGGTGCTGATCCTTTTGCTACCACTAATAGAGGGGAAAATGCTCTATGTATGGCTGTTTATCATTTGCTTAATAATCCAACAAAAAATGACTTTTCATGTCTTGAAATGCTCTTACAAACTGGTTAGTTATTTTTTATTTGAACCTTCTGATTTTTAAATTTATGTTTTAAGCTTTATTTTTCTACAGGATGTGAATTTGGTTTAAATAATGAATGGTATAGTACTTTACTAAAGATGGCCTTTAATAATAATCATACAAAATTAGCACAATGGTTAATTGAACATCATAGTACATCATCATATAAAATCTTACGATGCTCTTCTTCACCACCAATTACAAACAATTATAAACTTAGTATGTAAATTAGTATGAAACAATTACTTTGATACTGTATTCATTATATGTACAATTTTTAATTTTTAAATTGTCAATTACTTACAATTAATTTATTAATAAATATATAATATATGAAAATTACAATTGTTATTAAAATAACGATTGTAAATAATAAGGAATAAACAGAATAAATATATGATTGTATAATAAAAATACAAAGAAAATATTATTTAAATTAAGAACATTATTCAACGTAATTTTAATAGTTTCTGACAAATTGTATTTATATTTAATATTTTAAACTATTTAAAATAAAAGAATGAAACAATAACATCATATATCGACTTTTATTGTTGAAAAATTAAACAATGTGACATTCTTCAATATTCGCGCTTAATGGTAACGTCGTCAGTAGATGTTCAAGGAAAACAAATGCGGAGGAACTTATCTATACTGATAGTAAAATGCTTATTCTTTGACAATTTATTACGTCACGCAATATCCAATTATCATGTGAAAATGTTAATATACTAAGTATAACGTGACATGTGTCATTGTATCAACGGATATAACGCCGAAAAATAAAATTGAAGGTTAAAGAGATTTTAGTTAACAATGGCAAATACCGGTTTATTAATTTTAACGAATCCTACAAAAATAACAAAATTATTACCAATAATTAAAAATCATGTATTAAAAACTCTGTATATTCAATACTTTCCGGAAAAGAATATATTTTCTTCTCGAAATCATACATTTACAAATTTTCCCTGGAAAGTAAGTTCTTATGCTCAAACTGTTTCTAAAATTTATATGGATACATCCACTGTATCTCCACCACTAGATATTCGAGTATTACTTACAAGTATTAAAAATCCTAATTTGTCAACAATAAATACCAAGAAGCCTGTGGAAGTTGTTATTTTTGACCAAATTTATAGTAAGAATGAAGCTTCTACATTCATACAAGAGTATCTAGCTAATACTTCTATGGACTGCAGTTTTGTTACTTTTGATGATAATCAGGAAGAAGAAAAGGTAAACGACACTTGTATGAATCAGGATGGTATTAATGAGGAAAAAATTTATAAAAGTGTAGTACTTGGTGGTACATTTGATCGAGTACATAATGGACATAAAATATTTTTAAGTGACGCTGTATTGCGTTGCTCAGAAAAACTTACTGTTGGTGTAACCGAAGTAAACATGTTGTCTAGTAAGAGACTTTTATACATAAAAATCATACAATTTTTTTATTCCATAAACAATTATATCTTAAATAACATGTTTTATTTTATGCAGAAAAATTATTATGGGAACTTATAGAACCTTGCTGTACAAGGATCCAAAAACTTAAAAACTTTTTAGAAGACATTGATTCAACATTGACATATGATGTTGTACCAATAACTGATATGTATGGTCCAACTAAACACGATCCCACATTTGAAATGATAGTAGTTAGTGAAGAAACTAAGCGTGGAGGAGATAAAATAAATGAAGCACGTATAGAAAACAATTTAAACAAATTGGACATACATGTTGTGAAACTAGCAAATGATGAAAACCACAGAAATCATGAAGAAAATAAAATTAGTTCTAGTAATCACAGAATAAGATTGCTGGGTACACAACTTCAACCTCGGGTATTTATTTTGTTAGATTTTTTCTAATGTAAAAGAATTAATTTTTGCATCATTTTTAGAGAATAAAAAATAAACCTTTAAAACCTTACATTATTGGTTTGACTGGTGGCATTGCAAGTGGAAAATCATCAGTCATTGAAAAAGTAGAGAAATTGGGTGCTGGTCTTGTTAATTGTGATAAATTAGCACATGATTTATATTTACCTGGTAAAAAATGTTTTGATGCAGTAGTTGGACATTTTGGTTCTACTATCTTAACATCAGATGGATTTATTGATAGAAAAATACTTGGCAACATAGTTTTTAATGATAAAGTAAGTTCATATGTCATATTTTTTGTGTGTTCTGTAATTAATATCTGAAAATAAATTTGTTTGTAGGAACAGTTAAATAAATTAAATAACATTGTTTGGCCTATAATTTTAGAAGAAGCAAAGAAACAGATAAATGATTTTTATACAAAAGGATTTGATGTAATTGTAATGGAAGCTGCTGTATTAATTCAAGCTAATTGGCAGGACTTCTGCCATGAAATTTGGACATGTATTATTCCACAAGAAGAGGTAAAACTATAATATTCTGTGTAGAACTGTTCTTGTTTTAGTGATTGTACAATTTATTTCAATTATTTATAATATTTTAGGCTGTAAGACGAGTGATAGAAAGAAATAAATTAACCGAAGAAGAAGCCAAATTAAGAATTCAAGCTCAACCAAGTAATCTAGAACAGGTTAATGAAGCTAATGTAGTAATATGTACTTTATGGAGTCATGATATCACCCTAGAACAAGTGCAAAAAGCATGGGATGAATTAATGGTATTTTTATCTACACAAACAAAAAAGTAATAGTGTATTATTAAATTATCAGTTATAATACATATACAAAATTTACAAATATTTTTGTACATAACAGTGTTTATTTTTAATAACCTATGCATTAAGTACAAATTACATTTTATCATTTATAATATATACTTTTAATAACTTCAACTTTAGAATTAATGTTTAAGACAAAATATACGGAAGATTTTTAAGGGTAAAACTGTATTTTTTTAAATTGCATTTTTTAATTATTTAGTTTATTGATTATGCATAAAATACGTTACAATATGTAAATATAGATTTCATACGAAATAATTTACTGGAATGAATAAATAAAAAATTATTTCATATGACAGTTGTTATTCCTTCACCCCATATATAAAAATGTTATATAACAATCATACAACACATTACATTATTTTGTAAATAATATGCTATTAATTGAAGTATTCTTATCTTCTTGTTCATTATAATTGTGCATTTTGCTAAGTATTGTACTCAAGAATGCGGAAAAATCAGCTCTTAGTTTATTTCCACCACTTTCTATATTGCATTTTACATGGGATACTTTCACAAATGTTGATGCTATATTTATTATAAAATAAAAGTATACCATCTTAATATGAGAATGTTAAATATTATACACATTCATACTTACAAATAATTTTTGATATCTCAGGATTTTTATTTTCAGGATCATAACAGAATATTACACATTTGTCTGGACCTAATTTTATTTGGTCAATAAAATAATCATATAATTGTTGAAGTACTTTTAAACAGTCGTTTGATCTTTCACTATACACAAGTATAACACCATGTAAATCTTTTCTTATAGCGGGCCAACAATTTTCAAATCTAAAACATTTACATCTTATATACTATACATTTCCCATTATTTTTGTAAATAAATACGTTAAAAACGAGAGATTTTAATATACTTATGATCTCCACTACAATCCCACAATTCGATATCTTTCGTAATATACTTATTATCCGCACTTATATTATTTACTTCAAATTCTAATATTCGAGCACCTTGAGTTGGATAATAATCGTAGGGTACTTCTGTAGCATCCGCAAGAAAATTAGCTATCGTTGTTTTACCACTCTAAAAAATATTTTCAAAGCAATTTAAGGTACAGAATATGTATATCATTTAATGTAAATGTATATGTATATATAGATGCAAATACACATTAACTACAGTTTCTAATTATACATTATTCTCGTGTATGATAAACAAACCTAACACAATAAATTGATTATATTAACAAACATCATATATTGATATACATTAGCAATAAATGTTAAATATTACCCTAATGGGTCCAATAAGAACTATCTTTAGTGGCTGCATATTTATGTATACTTGGTGTACATAATTACTATCACCATTATTGTTTGGAAAATTGTTACCATAGTAACCATAACTTATACCTATATCTACTATTTCTGTATCAAGTAAAATGTAATAAATATGAAACTTCATACATATTTAATTAAATATTACGAACTATTTGATAATGATAAACAATAACAGCACAAAATTTACTTACATATAATAATTTATTGTGATACATTAAGATTTTAATTCGAGTATGATATCATGATGTAAAAGTTTAAATACAAAACACTGTAAGTTTGAAAAACACTATATATAAAAGTAGACCATTTTTAAAGAAAAAACATTTTCTTCTGAAAAATTATGATTTAAATTACAATACTTTCATTAATAATTTATTAACTTACAGTTGGTTTTATATTGGTATGGAAAATATAATATTACATCGAATTCAAATAAAAATACATTAATTACATAATAATAATGCAGTTGTATAATATTTTCAGAACATGATACTGATGTGTCAATTTTGTAAAAATACAATTAAACATATAAAAATATACAAATTTATCAATAAAAGAAATTAGATCATCCTAATCATTGTACTTGCTATACTATTTGTAATATTTATTCATACTGTAATATTAAACTTTACTGAAAAAAATACTTTTGTAAATTTTTCATAATAAAACCTTACAGCATTATTGCAACAATTAAATTGTTAGATTTTTTACCATAATCTATAGTAATGCATATAATGTACAATTAAAGTGATCAAACTGAACTTAATAATGACGTTAATATCTTTAAAAAAAAAAAAAAAAAATAAGTCAATTATTTATATGTCATCCCCTTTTAAGCCATCGGTTGTTCTTGAGGTACTGGTACAGTTTCATCTGGATAGCTTAAACCATATAATGCTAAAAGTGCAGATTTTGCTGCTATTTTCTTGGCGTCTTTCTTGTTTTTGGCTGTAATATATGTACATATTTTTTATTTTTTTTTTCTTTTATGCAGACAATTTGTAATAGATGAGATAAAAAGTAATAGCGTAATTATTTATATATGATATTTTTATATTATGTGTCTTAAAAATAGTATGCAATTTGAAAACTGCAGATGTTTCATGCAAAAATAAATACAAAATACTTCTGTTACTTAACAGTAAGATTCATTATCAGTATAGTATAACAAAACTTCATCATGCAGGAAAATTTACATTTATTAATTTCACATCATTCTAATCTTAATGTATGAAATACATATACAAGTTATTAAACTAAAATTAAAAATTGAATTACCTGTTCCTGTATATTCCACACCATCAATGTCAACAGCAAGAGTGAACATTGTGTTAGGTGGATTACTCGAGCGATTTAACTCTACGTATGTTAAACCTGGTCTCATTTGATTTAACAACATAACAGGATGTATGTTTGTTGCATTTGGCGGTAGTTCTTTCTGAACTGGAGCTTTTGGAACTTGAGAAATTTCTTTTTTAATTCCTTTTACAGGTGATGGTAAACCTGGCCTTGGAACTGGGACAGATGTCCCTTGGTTATGCCATTCAAGGAAAAGCTTATATAATGCAAAGCTGGCCAACGAGCTCCACGGAATTTCATTACTTTCATCAATATTAGTATCAACTGCCATTGCATTATCTTCATTACTATCATCTTTTGATGTGTTTAATGTGTCTGTAGGCTGGTTTGCTTGCCCGTCTGATTCAGCATCAATGCGTGCTTTTAGGGATGCTGCAGTCATTTTCTCAAGCAATAAAGCCTTTAGAGCATTTTCAGCAGCATTTTGACGGGCAAGAGGTTTGGACAATCCTTGTCCAACATAGGTTTTACCATCGAGCTGTTTTTATTTACATTACATTAATAATAATTTCTTCACATCTTATAATGAAAAAAATAATAAAACTATATTTTTTAAAGTAAAACCTAATTTAATAGGCGCAATTCAATACTTCAACATATTTGCTACCACCATTCACATGAAAAATTTGATATTATCCTTCATTCTATTTTTAGTATAATTATTTATTACCAATTTATTATTAGTTAAAGTTTCAGAAAGTTAAAACGGGAAACAATATTATGTTTGTATGATATATTAATGATAAATAAATTTATTTTTAAAATTAAATGTCCATTACTATGTATCTGTGAGATGTGGCAAAAAATATGTTTATAGCATGCTTAAAAGAGTAGAAAATATGATTATATTCTAAGTACCTCTGCATGAACAAGATACAATGAGTTTGGCATAGGTCCTTGAGTTTCAGGAAATGTGAATTGCACTCCAGCTTTCATTTCATTCAATACCATAATTGCATTTTTTGGTTGCAACGTTTTTCTCAAACGTTGGTTCAAACGAAGTCGCTTCAACTTTTTACTTACTCTAACTAAAGATATAAATTTTATTTCAATATTACTGAATTAAACTTTAAATATTAATTAATCTTCTTCTATGTAAGTATCAGTATACAAGTTTTCACACTAATTATGAAAATGTTACAGCTCAACAATAAACTACTGGAGCAGATAATAGTATTATAATTTTCAAATTTGCGCAGTGATTTTTCATCATTTCATAAATAACATAGTCATTTAAACATGATAAATTTATATCATAATTTTTTATATTTTCGTAGCTATTTTTCTGCAGTTTGAAACAAAATTAATGTCAAAAAAATGAGTTTTCTCAAAAATATTTTTAAATAAAGTTTAAAGAAATTAAATTTAAAAACAAAATAATTAGCATTACTTAATAGTCACTTACATCCAGGAGGTTTACGTCTCCACCTTGGAACTTGTTCCTGCATTTCAACGTCGGTATTTTCAGGCACTTGATTTTCATTTTTTACTTCAGGTGTATTATTATTTACTGGTGGTGTAGGATTAGAATTGGTTGTTACAGGAGTTGCTACAGTAGGAACTGATGGTTGAGAAGACGAGACAGGATTAACTGGTGTTGGTATTGGAGGAGGTTGCTGTTGAGTCTGAGAAGGTTGTTTCAAAATTGGTTTCAATCGTTGAGGTTGAGGTTGTGGTGGTAGTTGATGTTGTAATTGAGGCTGAGGTGGAGGTTGAGATTGTGGTTGAGGTTGGACTTGAGGAGAACTTGTAACTTGTTGTTGTGGTGGTTTGATTTGCTGCGGTGATTGATTGATTTGTTGCTGTTGAACCTTTGCTTGCTGTACATTTCTTGGTGGTGCTTGTTGCCCCTGTGCTTGTTGCTGTTTAAATGCTTGCACATTTTGTACACCACCCGGCTTATAGTTGCTCGATTGGTTTGCAGGTGTTCCCTGGAAACTTCCTTGTTGATTGTACTGCAAAACATAGGGTGGGTCGCCGCTACACAAGGAACCTCTATGGTTGTGCTATCCCACCAAGGTCTAGCATCGTATATATACTCGAAAGCAGTCTAATGCTACCCCCATAACTCATACCAGCCAAATTGCTTTTACGACCAATATTTCTTTAAAACTGAACTGAATTTACAAAACCTTTCAATTATAAATAAAAGACAAATAATATATGCAAATATATATTTTGCATATTATATTTAGAAAGATAATATTAATCACAAACAATTCTTATGATTTAAAATAATATCAAAATTAATATAAGTTATTAAACTGCATATGTTTTAATAATTAAAACATATGTAAATTATAATGAGTATTAATATATCTCAGTAATTAAAGCAAACATACTTTGTTTTGCATTTCATAACTTCCTACTAAGAAAAATATTATAATTTATGTTATGTAAATATCAGTTCAGCAGAATACCAAAAATATGGCCTATGGCAAGTTATGCTATGTGGGTAACCGACGATCTAGCCCCTGGCTGAATAGACCTCCTCGGTATTGTTGTATAGCTACTAGTTCCTGCATTGCAGGGAAAGGGAAAGTAGGGACCACTAATTAGTACATGCAAATGGACAAAATATTGAAAACAACAAATGGAACAACCATATATTTTAATTACAAAAAGTGTAAAATATTTTTTATAACCTTTTTTTTTCTCTACTTCAATATAATTTAATGCAATAACTGATTATAAGCTTATAAGTTTTATTTATAAATTGTAACAAAACAAAAATATTAAATTGTTAAAATTTCTAAAGGAAAATTTTGATGTGTATATGATTATCGACATCATAAAAATATTGTTAAAAAATTATTGATTCAATATATAAAAGCCTATTTAGATGATAATTCATATTTACATATTTTTAAGGCATAAAAAATGTGAATATAATATGTATTAAAGTTCTGTTTTAATATTTTCAATAATATGTTTTATTCTCTACAAATAATATGCTGTTAATTTTTTATATCAAGCTTTGGATATTATATAATGGATCTGAAGTGTTATTTAAAAGAAATTTATGTAAAATATTATACAGGGTAATTTTCTTACTAGTAGACTCCAAAGGACCTGCCACTAGAGCAAGGAAAGGAAGAACAGTCAAGCAGTACATTTGGCTGCATTTCTTTTGAAGTCTACTAGTTTGACAAATCTAATACACATAATCCTAATATAAAACTGTCAACAATAACTATACTGGTACAATTATTTTAATACCATATAACTACAAAAAATAAAATTTTTAAAAAATCGACAAACATCTGATTATTTTAATCTAATTATTAATTTTGTATGGTTATCTTGTAAATTATATGATACATTACATATTTATCATATACATACTATACATGATAACAATATAAAATACACAGCTAGTCTGAAATAATCAGTGCCTTCTTGCAAAATTTCATTTTTAAAATATGTGGTATTAGACTAAAGGTATCAATATTTTATTACACTTTATGAATTATTTTTTAAATTGTAGAATTCTAAAGTGTTAAATGTTCTATGTATGAATTTATTGTTCATATGAAAAGAAATACACAATTAAAAACATGTTTTACAGTGTACAGTGGTTAATAATTTAGTAGTCTCATTTTTTAAACAAATGACATTTTCTTGCATTTATTAAGTAATTTATAAGACAAAAATATTCTTACTATAGATGTGTTAAGAAGTATACAAAAAACTGTATCAAAAACAGTTTACGTTAAGTACTTTATCCTTTCAGCTATTGTCAAACTAAAAATTCATAAAGTAATATCATTTTATGAGGTAATTTCAGTGCATTAGTTTGAAATCTGACTTTTGAATGAAATATAGTATAATGAAATACTAACATAAATATAAATATAAAGCAACCAACAGGTGAAGCATTGCCCATAAGGATCTTTTGTGTGACTATTTCTGGGAGCTTATGAAGGATAAATGCAAAATTAAAAAAGTTAATCAAATAAAATTATTTTACCAATTAATAAAACAGCATTTCACATGTGTTGATATACCAAATTTTGAGGTATATAAAATACTTTATAAATTGTAAGTAGACTGTAAATGTTTATGATATAGCAATGTCTACAAAGCATCAAACCTGCAGTCTTCAAATTGCATAATTTACATATGCTTTATAGATTGTGATATATCATAAATGCATAAAAATTTGCTGAGTAATTATAACATAGAAACTACTATGAATTTAATTTAATGTGGTTCCACTTGAGTATATATATTTAAATAAAATAACTATATATTTATATATATATAAAACTACATTTTTCAAAATCTTTCTAAATTTCTTATAAAATATTATTACATGAAAGTTATTACCAAAAGAATACAACTTACAGCGTTTTGACCTTGGTATCCTGCATTTGGATTATTTTGGTTTCTTGCTGCAAATGTAATTTAAATAAAAATTATTGTTAATTGTAAATATCAGGATTAATGCCTAAAGTTTAAAGCAATAAAACTTCATAATAATGACAAATTAGGAAACAAGTTTTTTATTTGATGTTTTGATTCCAAATAATGAAAGTATGTCATCTGGTAAACTAGTTTTTCTACTTGGTAAAAAAAAACTCAGACCACTCACTCTAATTTGAAAAGAACAAATGAATATTGTTTACAAACATTGTGAGTTATAGTATTATGTAGTGTAAGGTCTTATGTCATAACATTAGCCTTTGTTTTGTATTTCAGTTCAATATTTAGTGTTTGAGTAAGTGTACACAAAAGGAATGAAAAACTAAATGTGAACATGATTGATACTCTGAATACTATAAACCAGATTAGCATTTCTTAACTGCTGGATTGAAATGAAAGAAATAATGACAAACTTTATTTGCAATTATAAACAAAACCATGTACATAATAATAAATGTTCTATATTGGTAATATAGTAAAACCTAAAACAATTTGAAATTATTTCAGTACATAGTTTCTAAGACATTATTGTAGCTATTCTTATAATTCTACACAAAGCATACAAAACTACTAAACCGATCTTCATTAGATGACGCCATTCTGTATAAACTGCTATATAGATATTGATTTTCTCTATTAAATTTATTTATACTTATATAATTATGAAACATAAAAATATGGGTACGTACATTTATTAAATATAAAACATTACAGTTTGTCTTCTTATTTTAAATATATATTCAAATATTACTTACCATTGGCATAGCCTTGGCTTTGTCTGTTTCTCGTATACATATTGACTTCTAACTTTTTGGTGAAATTACGACGAGTGTAATTGTTTTCGGAACACAGAACGCATAAAAATACTGTTTTTTACTACATACACTGTAGGAATATCGTAAACTCTCAATTTATGGTAAATACGGATAAGTCTTTATACGTCGTGTCCGTGTAAATTGGATACAACTTACTTTCTCGTTGCGGAGAAATAGGAAATGACGTTATTTACCATTGTCGGAAATGGAAAGTTTGCCATATTGGACTCAAAGCGCATGCGTAGCTAATTTTATAAATTAAAATAAATTCAAATTATTCTCTTTGAAGTTGAAAATTAAGTAAATTAAAAATAAAAATATACACTTTTTAAAGTCACATGCAAAAATCAAATATTAAGTAACATATTAAGTAAAAAAGATTAAAGTTTGTTACTCGAAATTCAGTTTATAAAAAATTTATCAGCAAAATATTTGTTATATTTACAATAAATACGAATAGTTGTTATTCGCTGTCTATTAAATATAGCATATACATTAAAATAAACAGTTAATTCTAATGACGGTAAGAGAAATAACAAAAAATTGTTGATTAAGTACAACACTAATATTTATAATAACCATTAAATATACATAACTCAATTTTTGTATAATTTTGATAAAAAGTTTGCTTTGTGTGAGTTTATGTATAAACGAAGTCAGAAAAAATTCGTTAATATATGGTATTAAAAAGTGAGGAATATATATTAGGTATTTAATTATAGCAATAACAGTCATAACACATTTTACAAGATTTCATTATTTCCTATTTCAATAAAATTGTATTGTAGTATAATATAAATTTAAAGTAATCCCTCCATTTCTTGCATAAATTGCATATATGCATCATCTTTAGTTTTAGGTTGAGTAGTTCGTATTGGTTGTGTTTCTGGTATTCTTTCCGTAAGTCTGGATAAAATACTCGGTTTTTTCTTATCGTCTCTTTTTACACGAAGAGAAGTGGGAAGAAATCTCGTAACATCTGCTGCCAAATTTCTAATTTGCGGCTTTGCTTCAATAGTCGTAGTACTTTTTCCATCTTTATCTTTCCTATTAATTAATTGCGGTGCAGCAGAAAGAACATTGGGTGTTTTTGGCTGTGATCCACCTGTAGATTGCGTTTGCATTTGAGGATTTCCTATATTCGACATGTTTGATAAATTTGGCATTTGCATTTGTGGAGGTGGCATTCTAGGCATACTTGGAGGTCCAGGTCTCAACATCCTCGGCATTCCTGGTGGTGGACCTGTACAACAATTATAATCATTTTTTATCAAATACTGATAGCAATATTACTTGTTACCTCCTTTTTACTATAGTGTAACATAATTACGTTAATTACAATATAATAATATTGTATAAGATAATAGCGCTAACAAAAGTACGAACTTTTGATTATAGTTGAAAAAGTAAGCTAGACAACAAGTTAATAGAAACAATAAGTAGTGGTTTTTACATAAGAAGATAGAAAATTATTCAAAAATATGATTTTATAATAGCCCATATAAGTTTTGAAAAGCTATGATATCTTATAAATTTCTGTATGTATTGCAATATTCTTACCAGGAGGTAACCGAAGACCAATACGAGGTGGCGGTGGTGGAGGCATTCTTAAATGTAAAGGAGGTGGTGGTGGTCTATACATTAAAGGAGGAGGTGGCAACCCCATAGGAGGCATTGTGTGAGGCTGTGTGTGCTGAGAATGCGAATGCGAAGATGTATGCTGATTATGGTTTGAAGAATGATCTGATGCTCCTGGGGGTTCAAGATCTTCTTCTTCTGCTTTATTATTAGTAGATTTGTTATTAGATTTTGAATTAGATTCATTTTCTGCTTCAAGTAACGACAGTCGAGCATTTAGATCTTGAGCTCGTTCGGTTTCTCGTTTTTTATGAACAACTTCCATTTCGCGCATAAATTGATCAATATCTTGTCCTGCCATGGCTAACATTTTCTGTTGTAGAGTGGTTGGTTTCACCTTAGACATGTCCCTTTCTTTTTCTTTCTCTTTATCTGTTTCTTTATCTTTACTATCTGATTCTTGCTTATCTTCTTTGTCATCTGCAAATCGAATTGTTCTCGATTTTGGTACTGCATCCTTAACCTGTATGTATTATACATGATTATCCCATAATTCGTGTACAAGGATTAGTCACATAACGAACAATTTTAAATACTTACCTTTTCAGGTATATCTTCGTCATCACTTGATAAATCTGGTGGAGGAAAAGGTGGTACTCCAGGAGGTTCTTTGTTGGGTGCTAATGTAGGCATGGAGGGAGATGCTGCATATGCACTTGTTTTCTTTAAAATACTTGGTGGTATTGGAATATTCATCAAAGGATGGTGTTGTGGTATATAGTGTGGATGAGGAGGATATATATGTGTTGGTGGTTGTGGCATATCTGGCAAAGGTATTTGCGACGTTAAGGAACCTGAAAAAAATGTCTTACATTAACTGAATAAAAATATGTATTGCAACTATTATCTGAAATATATTCAAAATGCACCTGAATATATCCGAGATATGTCATTACCAGCTGATGGCAGAGGAATTTCGTCAACTTGTACTTGCTGTGCATGTCTAACAGCTTCGAAATATGAAACTAAATCTATCCTTCTACGTTCATACTGTATTAATTGTTCTTTCAATTCAGCCCACTTTTCTTGATCATCTTTTGCCTTCAAATGAAAAATAATACAATATGATAAACATATGATAATTTTACAAAACATAACTTATCAATGGACTATGGATGTTTATACATTTATAATACATCAGAATTTATAAACTATGTACTTATCAATATTAATTTTATCTTACCAAAAATTTTGTAGGAAATTTATAACCATAATATCTGAAGTACTTACATACATTTTTAAAACACGATCTAAGGTCTCCTTTAATTTCTTTCGTTTGTCTTTTAGAACTTTTTCATTCAAAGGTGGCGGTTGCATGACATTGTATTCTAAAAATGATACATACAGTTAATAATGATTTTCCACATAACAACTTAGAAAATATTAAACTTTAAACAAACCCATCTGATCTATCTTTTCCATTTCTTCAATAATTTGAGCTGGGTCCTTGCCCTTTAAAACTGCAGCTCGCACTAATTGTCTTTGTTTCTTATTTTTCTTTAATTCTTTTTTTCGTGCTTCCTTACCTGTAATAAGTTTATGAATGATTGATCATAATTGTTCATGAGCTTATTCATTTAAAAGAAACTGAAATGCTTGGTTATGTTATTTACTAACGTGCTTGATCAGTGGGATTCATGTATTTCCCACTTTTAGTGGTGTTTATCGAACGGCGACCCATGTTTTCTTACTTAGATAGACTAATTGAGATATATTTCAATGATATATTCTTACAAACTTTATGCTACATACATCATTATTTACATTCATTCTGATTACACATCCATCGTTAACATTTGATACGTACACTCAAGTACAAATCTGGCTTCCCTAGGGAAAATGGCAGTCAAGGGTAAGAGGTTTTCACCGCTCACTAGCGCTAGTGTATTAGCGAACATAATGTCTAATTCACAGGAATCAACATGTAATAAAATCTCAAATAAATGCTTATTTTATTACTAACAATTTATTTTGGTATTATTTTCTAAAATTTTTTTAATTGCATTTCATGCATTTAACAATGTTTAGTCATCCAATAGTAGAAAGTAAGAACTAGTGGAAATAAACTTATAAGATACTAATATTTTCGATTTATAAAACAGTAAAATGTTTCAAATAACAATATTACATGGCTTGATGTGTTCTACATGTGTTAGCAAGATAAAAACACTAAATAAGGTACATTGTTTTCGAAATTTAGTTCTATTAATTCACACCTTCTATCGCTAGATCGGTAATCGTTTTGAAGTGCATAAAATACAATTTCTTTAATTTTCGACTACAATGCTCCGAGTTCACTGTAAAGACATTATTCTAACTTTATTGCGCCTGTGAAATTTTGAGCATCAACTAAACGTAAAAATACTTTATTTTGAATATTTTATCAAGACAACTACTTGTTTCGGTAATTTCGTGTCTGATCGTTAGGTGGTATTAGCTGCGCCATTTTCCGCGGATGTTATTGCAGGTTGCAGGGATCTGTTCCCTTGGACAGCCATATTTGATAAACTTTAATTTGTAAATTCAACACCAGACGGCGCGTCTACATATTTCTTCAACCGCCATTTGGAAGACGCGTTGTTTGAATTGTCGAGTGTCCGCTTCGTAATTAGTGAAATACTGTGATTTTAAAGTGAATATCCACTGCAGAAATGTGATAATTGGGGTGCAGTAGACGCAGTCTTACAATCTTCTGATTACTTCATCTTTTTTGGTGAGTATTATACAAGTATATCAATAAAACTTGTTTTAACGTATACTCATATAGTACATATCAAAATACAAAGTAACTTTAAAAATTTATCTTTTCTTGTTAATTATGTTAACATGTATTGTGTACGTATTTATTCGTTAAATTATTACCGCAGATATATAAATTAAAGCAGACTTATATTATATAAGTAATATTAAAGCAGTTTTATATTATATTAAAATTATATGTGTAAAAATGGGCGTGTATCAATCACGTGACGTCCATTATTGGCGCCTTTTTAATGGAAGACATCTTGTGTACTTATTATTCAAAATTTAATTATTGTACTACTTCATAAAAAGATATTTACGTATTTCATAAAGTTAGTAAATTTTTATTGTTTCTCTTTTTATGTCAAATTATATTTTTCTAAATTTATAAATATACAGCATTATAAATATTGGTAAATATACCAGTTGTACCAATTTATTCTTCGAATAAATTTTCAGGATGAATAATTACTACTCTTTGTACTGTTTCCTCGAACAAATTTTCTGGACGAATAATTGCTACCGTTTATAAGTTTATACCGTTTCCTCGAAAAAATGTCCGTAAAGCGGTGTCAATAATGGGCTAGATGTTTAGCTCGATAAAATCAGCAATTGCTCGAAACGTGGCAGCAAAAAGTGGTAATAAAGAAACATGCGGTGTAACGTTATCTTAGGAAGTAAAATTCTAACAAAGTTACACGTCCGCGGGAAAATGTGGTTTCATGTTTCATTTACCACAAAGATGCATACAATGATAGACGTTTGCGATAATGGGAATTGTCGCTGGTTACAACTCATGCTCACAATTTTGAGGTCACGAAAAT